AAAGTTGGATTCTTGACTGCCTTTGGTGTATGTTTCTGATAAAAAAATACTGCTGTAGGTTCTTATTCATTAGCTTGGGGAGATATTTGAACAGAGATACATATCACATGCAGCGATCACTCTGTCATGCCAGCTTTCACTTTCATAAAATAAGATTCAGTTCATATCTCATGAGACATTTCTTGTAGCATTATACCTTAGTGTCCAGTCAATCAACATTTTATGACTACTATTAGAAAATCTTTCCTATATAAAAATATTTAAAGGTTTATATTTAAAAACTGACTAAAACTGAATTTCTTTGTCTGTCTGTCTATCTATCTATCATCTAGAGACTATTCAACAATCACAGTTTCCTGGGAATTGAATAAATCAAAGCACTGAATGAAAAACAAACCTAATTAACAAAAAAGTTAAAATAAAATGAAGAGTGACAACAATTATGTTGTCAAGTCTGAAGGGTCATTTCTGTGGAAACCACCATTTCTGTACCTTTAGCCTTTAGTCCTCAACTTACAATACTATATTTAGTGACTGTTCAAAATTAGAGCAACACTGAAAAAAGTGACTTATGACCATTTGTCACAGTTACGATCATTACAGCATCCTCATGGTCACATGATCAAAATTCAGATGCTTGGCCACTGACTCATATTTATGATAGGTGCGGTATTCCAAGGTCATGTGATCACCTTTTATGACTTTCTGACAAGCAAAGTCAACGGGGAAGCCAGGTTCACTTAACAACTGTGTTACAAACTTAACAGCTGCAGTAATTCACTTAACAACTGTGGCAAGAAAGGTCATGAAATGGGGCAACGTTCACTTAACAAATGTCTTGCTTAGCAACAGAAATTTTGGGCATAAGTCGAGGGCTACCTGTATTCTATTTTATGTTTTAAGTCATTGTATATTAAAATGATCCATTGATCTAAACCAGGGGTGTCAAACTGCCAGCCTGCAGGCCGGTTGCATCATGCAGAGGCCGCGCCCATCCCAGTTCCGGCAATGTAAAAAAAGTCGCAATACGTCACGACACGTCACATGCCGCGGCGAGTTTGACACCCGTGATCTAAAATATATGATTAAAATTATCCAATATTAGCCACACTGATATTTACCACTTTTACACTCAGTAAAAAATCCTGAGATAAGGCAAATGCAAATTTAAAGTCTGTATTACATTTAAAGTCAAATCTTAAAATATTGATTTCACTTGAAATATGAACAATGGCACTAACATATATGTATATCCAGTCATGGCATATAATCAACTACAGATAGCAGGGACCCTGCCCAAAATTAATAAAAATAACTTTGAGGACATATGCTATTTAATTTATACTTTAGCAATAAATGCACATTAACCTATGTTCTGAATAGAAAAGAATTCAGTTCAGCAAACTGCCAATGTCCTGCCCCAAATGAAAAATGTTTTATATTTCTAGCTGGTTGGGGAAAATACATTTTGATCTAGATTTCAGAAGAACTGGAAAAGGAATGATGAAAGGAGGAGGAGGATGAGGAGGATGGTTCTGGAATAAACAATATGGTATAAATTATATTGGAAAGCCTACTGGAAGTTTTGCCTAAATGTGCTATAAAGGTAATCAAAATTAAAACGTGTTTCTCTATGTGCGTGCAGAGATAGATACCGATCCTCACTCTCTTAATTTGAAAATATCTACATGCACATCTTAATTGTTAAATTCCTTCAGTATTATTTGTAGTATTAATTTTAATTCATGCTTTTCAAAAATGTCTATTGTGTTTCCCTTTTCAAGATTGGTTAGCTATTCTAAATACTCAGCAGATGAATAAAGCAAATATATGTTATTGTATACAACGTACACACAACTGCAGTATAGAAAAATTCTTAATAATATGATATAATCCTTGATAAAGAAGAGTTTTATCATTATCATTAGTGTGATATAAAAACAAATTCTGAATCTTTAGTAGAAAGTCGCATGAACAAAGTATGTCTCTTTTGAAATGCATTGTTTGGGAATGGATGTGGAAAATAATCACAAATTAATAACATATAAAGTGGGTGTGATAATGCAAATCTTGAAATTATTGAATAATCGTTTTTGTTGAAACATTATTGTGGCTGTACCAGAAATAAATTTGCTTTCTGGCCACATAAAAGTTCCGAGTCAAGTTTTTATACACAAATATTCCCAGGATTTTTCTATTTCACGTTTTGCTTCAAATAATACTTTTCAGTCTATTTTATGTGATTTAGACAATTTCCTGCAACGACATTGATTCAACATCATCATTATTATCATTGTTATTTTACTTTCTATATTACTTCTTATTTGCCATTAGCCCAAAAATAAGTAACTGACTTGGTGAAATTAATGAATGAATCAATAATTTAATTGGTATGATTAAATGGAAGTCAAGGAAAACTAACTGGAAAATATCATAAGTAAGCAAGTCTTGAAATTTATTTGGAAGAACATGACAATACAACATGATGAGTTTTGATTATTTTATTTAATTATACCCATCCATCCATTTTTTTTTAGAACCACTGGCATTTTTATGCATAATAAAATTAAAATACTGGAATATATCCTGAATGCACCATTACACATAAAGACCTAAGTAGAAATTTTCTATTTGATAAAAGGAAAAGAATAGCAGTTATACCCTAACATAGACAAACCCCACATTCCTCATCCTAGCCTTGTAGACCATTTCTCAAAACATTTCTTAAGTCAAGGCTGACTTTTGATTGACTCTTGTATTCATGGTTAGGATTAGAACTAAATGTAGTCCATGTGGCTTTCTTGCCAACAATATAGACAGTTGCCTACTTTTAGCCCCAGAACTTTCTGGTGGTCTCTTATCTAAGTATTAACCATATCCAATCCTGTCTAGCTTTTAGCTCAATCAAGGCCAGGTGGGTGCTTCCATGTAACATCACCATAATTTTTTTCAACTCTCTAGAATCATATAGGATATGTTACAATGGGAAAGATTGCCATCCTTTAGCAGTAATAGAAAATTGCTCAGTGGAATACACTATCTCAGCTTGCTTGTTTTTCATTCACAATTACAATAATCAAGCATTGCATCCAAATATAAAATAAAATAGTATCTCACCTTTCAAAACAAAACTGGAACTTTGGTTTATAGGAACCGGTTATGCCCATATGCCTTCCTCATCATCCTGCCAGCCAGCCAGTAGTAGGTAGATTGAAGTATTAGCATTGGAATAAAAGAAGAAACAATTAGTTATCTCAGTGCAGTTGAAGATCTATTAATCTTTGGTGGTGAAAGTTCAGGTTCTCAAAGACAATGGAATGAAATGTAAGCTATTTTCCTTCCTAGAATTTTTCTTGCAAGGGCAGGTTCCATGATCAACCAAGTGCTGATTATTTCAAAAGGCAGAAATCCAAAAATGTAGTGAAACATGGCTTGACAAGAGTTGCAATTTTGCATCAATAAGATATTATGAACCTGATTAGGTAAGAACAAGTAAATAAGTTCATAATTCTTTCAGAGAACACCATTGCTAACTATACCTATCAGCATTATGGTTATCCATTGGTCTTATTTCTGAGGAGGTTATAAAGAATTTTACTTAACATGACTACTTAAGTAAATACATTAGTAACTATTTTAATGAATCATTTTAGTTCTGTATAGCATAGAAATATACATAGTGATGGTCAAAAGAGACAATTTACTGAGGGAAATATAGAAATAGAAATAGAATCATCTGGCTGGAAGGGACCTTGGAGGTCTTCTAGTCCAATCCCCTGTCCAAGGCAGGAATTCTTATTCCATTATAGACAGATGGTTGTCCAATCTTTTCTTGAGAATCTCCAAGGATGGTACATCTGTGACTCTGGGAGGTATGTTGATTCTCACTGTTAAGAAATTTCTCCTTAATTCCAGTTTGGGTCTCGCCCTGACTTCCATCCACGCTCCTCAAATGCTTTGGAAAATAAATCAACCCCCTCTTCCCATGACAGCCATTTCAGGTATTGGAAGACGGGTATCATGTCACTGTCTCTTCATTAGACTAAACATACCTAGTTCCCTTAGCCCTTCATTCTACAATTTAGCATCCAGACCCTTCATCATCTTTGTTGCTCTTCTGTGCACTCTTTCTTAGGCCTAAGCATTATTTTGTATCATGGTGGCTAACTGACTTCCTGCTCCAGCTGTATCTCTTCTCCCTCACACACATCCTTCAACCACAAATGTTTCCTCTATGTCTAAAGATGGGAGGGGAACAAGTGTGGGAATGAGCAGAGACAGCAATGTTGGTACAGTCCTAAAGAATGTACTCTTATAGAAAATGTGAATCTAAAGGGACTTTGTCTGATAGGAAACATGCTTCACTTCTCTCAAGATGCCAACAATTTTCTGCTCCAAGTGCAATTTTATGAGCTTCATTGCATGTAGTTCCAGAATTTTACTTAACATTTAGAATTATTCAGAATGTATTTATTTAGAATAAATACTGTTCCAAACTACCCTAATATGAATGAGATCCTGATATTTTTTTTTTGCTTGATTGAAATTGAAAATTACCTTGCTTTTTCTTTCTTTTGTAAGGATTTTATTTTTATGTGTGTAACATAGAATAGAAACTGTCAGAATAGTATTAGTGGGCAGAATTAAATTAGTGTGGTTTTGAGAACAAAGAATTTTCCAGCTGAGAGATTACTTGATTTAAAAAGAAAAGGAAAGAGGGAAGAAAGATGGCTTGAAAATGCCTGCTTTTTCAGGATAAATCTGTTGAACACATTTAAAGGAATTACTGTGTTGAATATTAATGATCATGGATTCTACTGAATTTTTCTCAGGCAGATAGTAATTGTTCTATTCTAATTCTTCTGCCTGGATTACAAGTGCAGTCAGATGTTAAATAATTTCCCAGGATGGGATCAAATCTTTCTAATACTCTCTTTCTAGAATGTTTGTCATGCAATACAAACATTCTTGAATACTCTCTTTCTAGAATGTTTGTCATGCAATATTATATTGTCTCTTCTCACTGAAAACAGTTAAGTATGTTTTTTTCTGTGGAAACGGTTAAATGCCCTATTCTTGTTCACCTGTTCAGGTAATTCTTCAGAAAACAGTTAGTGTACAGCACTAGTAAAAATAATGCACATATTAGATGATGCAAAATGCTGTTCTTCAAGCATTGTTCTGCAGGAAAAGTGATAAAGATTCCCTCTAGATTAGGTCAACTTCATGCTGTTTTGTTGACTATCTATCTATCTATCTATCTATCTATCTATCTATCTATCTATCTATCTATCTATCTATCTATCTATCTATCTATCTATCTATCTATCATCTGTGTATGTGTATATACATATATATACATAAATCTTCAACAATGATTTGGATGAGAGGATAGATAGGGAACTCATCAAATTTGCAGATGGCACCAAGCTGGCAGGAATAGCGAAGACTCCAGAAGATAGGCTTAACATACAGAAGGATCTTGACAGACTTGAACATTGGGCGCTATCTAACAAAATGAAATTCAGTGGTGAAAAAAGTAAGGCAAGAAAAATTTAGGCAAGAAAAATCAAATGCACCTGTATAGTATAGGTGGCACCTTGCTCAATAGTAGTAACTGTGAGAGGGATCTTGCAGTCCTAGTGGACAATCACTTAAATATGAGCCAGCAGTGTGCTGAGCTGCCAAAAAAGTCAACACGGTGCTAGGATGTCAAGATCACATGAAGTGTTAATACCAATTTACAATGCCTTGGTAAGGCCACACTTGGAATACTGCATCCAGTTTTGGTCACCATGATGTAAAAAAGATTTTGAGACTCTGGAAAGAGTACAGAGAAGAGCAACAAAGATGATTAGGGGACTGGAGGCTAAAATATATAAGGAATGGTTGCTGGAATTGGGTATGTCTAGTTTAATGAAGAGAAGGACTAGGGTGATATGATAGCAGTGTTCCAATATCTCAGGAGTTGCCACAAAGAAGAGAGAGTCAAGCTATTCTCCAAAGCGTCTGAAGGCAGGACAAGAAGCAGTGGATGGAAACTAATCAAAGAGAGAAGCAACCTAGAACTAAGAAGAAATTTCCTGACAATTAGAACAATTAATCAGTGGAATGACCTGCCTCCAGAGGTTGTGAATGCTCCAATACTCAAAGTTTTTAAGAAGAGACTGGACAACTATTTGTCTGAAATGGTATAGGGTTTCCTGCCTGAGCAGGGGGTTGGACTAGAAGACCTCCAAGGTCCCTTCCAACTTTATTATTATTATTATCATCATCATCACCATTATATTATTATTATTATTATTATTATTATTATTATTATTATTATTATTATTATTATTATTATTATTATTATTATTATTATTATTATTATTATTTACTTGTTAAATTGATTTGCCACCTATATTAGCATAGCATAGCACAACATAGCACATCATCATACTATATTATATATTATATTATATTATATGTAAAAATAAATGTAAAGGTAAAGATTTCCCTGTCTGACTCTAGGGCATGGTGCTCATCTCTGTTTCTTGGTTTACAGAGCCAGCATTATCTGAAGACATTTTCTGTGGTCATCTGGCCAGCATGGCTATATGCCAAAGGTGCACGGAATACTGCTACCTTTCCATCAAAGTGGTACCTATTAATCTACTTGCATTTGCATGCTTTTGAACTGCTAACTGGGAAGGAACTAGTGCAAGTAATGGGAGCTTACCCCATTGTGCGGCACTCAGGTCTCAAACCCAGGCTGTCAGCTTTGCAACTGACAAGTTCGGCATCTTTAACTGCTGAGCCTTATATTATTAGTGCAGTGTAGTGTAGTGTAGTGTAGTGTAGTGTAGTGTAGTGTAGTGTAGTGCAGTGCAGTGCAGTGCAGTGCAATGCAGTGCAATGCAGCATATAGTATATTCCTAATAATACTATATATATTTCCTAAGCTGTAGCACTGAGATGTCTTGGTGTTTACTCATCCAAACAATAACCAAGTCCTGTTTAACTTTCTGAGATCAGCTAAGATCATCTAGTGGCAGCTCCTTTGCTGAGCAAGACAGAGTAGAAAACAAATAAATTTAGATACTATTAGGACAGAAAGAAAGATTCCCTTTCTAAAAAAACACTTGAAAAATTTCTTTGGAAAACTTCAGTAAAATGCCTATCTCCTCAGTGTCTCTGCTCACAAATAAGAATCTGCCCACATCTTAGATATTTTTCAAATGAAATACTTCTGGAATATTTGCTTGGACCTAAGATCAATTAAAAATGACTTACAACACAATTGTCACAAGTTTGATGATTTGCTTCTGCTTCTTCAGTTAAAAAAATCTTGCCTGACAAGACTTGTAATAGATGCCTTTCATGTCCTTGAGCACAAAGAATTAACATCTCAACTTAAAGTAAATCTAGTGAAAATAATGTACTCATCTTATGAAATAGTGTTTGTTTTTTTTCTCCCAAAAAGCATGGCGTAAGGGAGTTAGTATAAGGCATCCTATTCTTGTCTTCTGCCTATAACTGGTGGTTTGAGCTGTCAGACATGTTACTACTGGCCCCAGGCCTGTGAAAGCTTTCTAGCACTTGGAGACAATTTTACTTTTTTTAACACAGTGATTGCCAAACAAGGGATTTCATTTCTCACTCACTGTGACCTGAAAGGACTCCAATTTTCTATCGTATATAGGACCCTCAAAAGCAAAATCTCAGAAGGTGTTAATCTTCAATATACAAGAAACAATAAGGTCAAACAGAATGAAGTAAAAAAAATTCTCTCATTCATTTGGTTTATATCCCACCTTTTCTCAAGCCAGCTTACACAAAGAGCCTGCTTCATTTTATTCCCACAATGTTGTGTTGCAAAAGAATGACAGCCCAATATCACCCATATCTGAGCTTTGGTCTTCCCAGTTCTGCTCCTGTATCTTAACTACTCTATCCTACTGGCTCTATCTAACTATGAGTTTTATGAATCTCCTGGAATTCTTTTGTGACTTTATACCAGTGTTGGGAATTAAATCAGTCCAGAGATTTTTGTATGACACAGACTAGCTTAATAAAACTAAATAGATACATAAACTTTGGCATATCGATGGTTAATTTGAAGTTTGCTTGATTCCATTTGCTAGTGGTCAGACTCTGGCTGACTGTACAGTTTTCCAGTGGCATAATTAATCTCTGTTTACTTCCTTCATTAATCAGATACTGCTGTATATATATTAATCCCTCCATCACTTGTTATTCTGTTCTTTGTCTCCACAGTGTTCTTACTATTTAAGTATCACTTGTACTGTTTATTTAAAGTTAATTTTTTGCCATCAACTTGATTACCAATGGTTAACGTAGCCAGTTTTTAGTTAAATAAAAATGCCCAGAGATTTGCAAATATTACCTTGGGCAAACCAAGACATTCTGAAAATATGTCCTTATAAGAGACTAATTTAGTCTCTTATAGTCTAGAATATTCACATTTTACCCTTTCTGTATACAACCTCCTGAAGCATTACCTAATAACCTCTAATAAAATTCATCCAGTTTTTAACTAGGTAATAAAAAGCCCTGAAATACACACTGAACCTCTCTCTTTTCTTTTTAGAAATAAATCTAATTCTCCTATTAAGCAGTGCCCTCTTTGTGTTTATATGTAAACACTGATCCACTTGTCATTTCCTCCATCTCCTCATTAGATCTCTATTTTCAGCAATATTTCCCTTCAAACAAAAAATATTTTGTCTTATTTTTATGTGCATTGGACCATGGAAAACTGAAGGATAATTTATATAGCTATAGATGTTATGCTTTTCTCCTAGTTTCTTCTAATATACACTTTGTTAGCAGCTTTGTATGTTATATACTTTTTTAAACATGCATTTTGAATTCATTTTTAAAGTTATATGCAATGTTCTCGCACTCTCCACATGCAACTCTTCACGCCTTAATTGACAACATTTTAAAAAGGATCTATCTGGATTCAAATCCATAATTTTGCTTGGGGACTGTTAATTAGACCAGTTGCCGTTCACATGTGCATTCTACACATTTTCCAAACCAAGCCCTTCCTCAGATGAATGGAATGGTGAGCTCAGCTTGTAGTTCTGTTAAAGGAACCTTGGACTGTTTGTTCAAAAGTGAGATATCAACATTGACCAATAATCAAAGATGAATAAGAAGAAAACTCTTGCCAAGATCTCTTTGAAAAGTGTGTTCAGAGCGTGGGTGGGGTATTACAGAGCGAAATGTGGAAAGTCATTCAGTGCAGTAGTAACAAAAGTTTTATTTCATGTTGGCCGAGATGAGGAAATGACTTTTTCATGAAAGAATCTCTCTCTTTCAACACCTATCACCTTTCTTTGTTCAGTAGTTGGTTCTTTCTTCTTTTGAACAGACTCTGCAGGGAATAAAATAAGGAACCAACATGATGTAGTCGTTAAGGTGCTGGATAGGACCGGGGAGACTCAGGTTTAAGAAAATCCTCAGCCATTCTTAAAATCACTCTTTCTTCACTTAATGTATCCCACAAAGTCATTGTTTGGGATACAGTTGGAGAAGGGAGTGCTCTATATACGGCCTTAATTGCTTAGAAGAAAGTGAAGGTGTATACAGTATCTAACAAATAAAGCAAGGGTTTTTGTTTTTTTTAAAAAAGATCTTTCTCCCTCACCAGATTGCAAGCAGCACAGTGGCTCACTTCGTTAGGGCACTGGGTTGACAATCAGTAAGCCCACATTTGAGACCTGAGTGCTACTGTGTGATGGTGATTTGCTCCAGCTTCTGCCAACCTAGCAGTTTGGAAGCATGCAAGCTTGAGTAGATAGCTACCATTTTGGTGGGTGCATTAATGGGGACATGAAAGAAGCCCCCAAACAGGCATCCCCCCCCCAGGCAATGGTGATGTCACTGGCTAATCCTGTCAACCCAGAAGTGCCTGGTGCTTCCGGCATGAACATGAGTGACCAGATGGCATGGATATGCTAAGTCATTTCATTTCTTTTGCCCAGAGTTTGGATTCTTCCCTTAATCTCAGCTTCCCACTATTTTTTTCCTTCTCTATTTGTGAAAAAGGTAGACATTTTATGGATAATATAAATCTTTGATATTTGAAGTTTTTTTGAATAGGAGAAACAAATAACATTGTTTTGTTAATTTAATAATAAAGGACATAGAGCCACTTAAGGAGATAAACCTTTTGTTAATATTGATTATCACATTCAACTCAGTTAATTCTTTTTTTAGCAAGCTGAGTTCATGAAACAAAGCCAGAATAGATTATATTTGTGTAGATCAGCTATCTAAGCAATTATTCAAAAATATTTTAATGGTTACACTGAGATCCTTCAAAAGTGCTATGAAAAGAAGAAGGAAGAAATCATAACAAAAGGAAGAAAAAATACCAAAGGAGGAGAGAGGAAGGAAAATGTTTGGATTCTCTGAGTGATGGAAATAAATAACAAAGCTATTCATTTCAAAGAGCAAATAAATTATATTGTTTATTTTTCTTTTTGAACCTTATTTTGTCTTGAAAATTGCCCTGGTTAAGAGGTATAAAGTATAAAATTAAAGCAAGAAGAATGGTGCCTCACCTGTTCTGGAGAGGGTCTATGATTGGGGTGTGTCCTTCCAGGAGATCTGTGATGGTGGTGGTGGTGATGGTGGTGGTAGTGATGATGGTCATCATCATAGTTGTCTGCCATCAGTTTCATTCTGTTCTGAGTCTGAAGGAAATAAAAAAAACACCAAATTCTAGAATGCATTAGACAACATCTCTACTATGAGGCCAACATTTCTTCCTCTAATGAAGTATGTGGTATGAAATATATGGTAGCTGGTTATCAGGAATTATCTGAGGCTGGAACAGGTAGTCACCTGTTTTTGTGTTTAATAACTTGCATGGATCCACCAACAAATCAAATTTCAGAATTATCTCTATCATGATTACCTGTGAATTTCAAGAATATTTGGCTTTTTTTAAGCTGAAAAATAAACTCTTTTTCCATGATAACTAACAGTATGGAACTACTACAACACAACCTGAGCAGTTCTCAAGAACTGAGTAAGAATGAGTAAGAACATGATAGAGATAGATAGATAGATAGATAGATAGATAGATAGATAGATAGATAGATAGATAAATAGATAGATAGATAGATAGATAGATAGATAGATAGATAGATAGATAGATAGATAGATAGATAGATAGATAGATAGATGGATGGAATGAACCTCCTGGTCAATAATCTAGAACAGGCATGTACAACTTGCAATGTCACGTGACATTGCGCGACATATCGCGACTTTTTCCCCATTACCGGCAATGGGGTGGGCGTGGTTTCAGTTTGACGCATCTGGCCCATGGGCCAGCAGTTTGACATGCCTGATCTAAAACATGCAGGATGTGTGGGCTAATAAGAGAAAAATAGAAAACATTTATCAAACTTAATATCTCTTTTAATATGAATTGATGACTGACATTCCAAACTTGTGCACTTATTTTTACTGATTTGCAGTCATACTTTTTTATAGAATCTGAAACCTATCCCCCAATCCTATAGTGAGAAATCCCTTTTCAATCTACACAGCATCTAATCGATTTTAAGGATTGGCCTTCTCAAATAAATCGTCTCTGACTAACAAAGCAAAGCAAAACAAAAAATTCTACAAGGAAGTAGGGAAAAAGATGATCTTAAATTTTTAGCAACCGGTTTTCTAAGAAAGGGTACCTCTAATCCTTACCCTATTTCTTCTTTGAATTTTTCAAACATTTTATTTGTTTATTTTCTTATTAGTGAACAGCTTTAAATTTCCCATCTTTCAACTGTATCCTATAAAAATGCACAAGTTAAACAAGAAGATATATGCAATCCTGAAAGTGTTTCCTATAATGAGGTGTTGGGGATTAAACTTGTCATGGAATAAGAACTGTGAATGAATGATGCCATTTTCTTAATATAGTGCTGAAACATAAATAAAACACTTTTAATATTGATTCTTGCTGAATCCAAACCATTGAAAAGCAAACAGAAAACTACAGCTAACACAAAGTATGGTACACTGAGTAGGGCAGCTATATAAATTGATTAAATGAAGATACATTAAAATATTTCACGGTATAATTATCCTTCTGAAGCCTTTTTTAGTGTAACTGCATCCTATCTTTTGATTAATATCAAATTATGTGAGAACTTTCAGATGAAAAGAACATTGTTTTGCTGACTTACACATTGGCTAGAATAACAGGAACATGCAAAGTTTAAGATCACATTTTGGCTTCTCTTATGGTACCTTCATAAGAAATATACATTTATATTCACGACGCTTAACTTGGACATTGCATCTTCAGTGGTTTCAAGCTTCCAAGTATGACACAATCAGATGTCTTATTTTAGCATCTAGAAAATATGGGATAATTATTATTTTTTCAATCATTTAAATTAAATACTGTGAAATATTGCAGCCCTGACTAATTCCTTTTAAGAGTCAGAAGGCTTTGTAATGCCAGGTATAGTTTTATTTCAGGAAGAAATTAATTAACTAGATTGGAGTTTGTCCAGAACCTCAAGGGCTCTACACTTGAGAAACAAAAAAGCAATGGGACTTTTATTGACCCCATATGTTTAAAAGCTTAGGGGAAAAAATAAAAAAAATAAGCATGCTTCCAAATGTACTGGGTCTCTTGACAATGTGATGAAAAATATTGATCTGGAGGGAAGAGTGCCACCTACTGATTTTTTTCTGCCACCATTTCCTGTAGTTTCATGATTTTTTTAAAAAATATGTTGAAGTTTCCAGTTAGCATTAGACAGAATAAAATTAATCTGTTTCCAGTGAGTATCGGACAGAATAAAATTACCAATCTTGAGTTAGTAATATATCTATGAACATATACTTTGGTATCTTTTCGCTTTTATGTTTTAGAAAATATGGTTAATTAAGGTTAGTTTAACTTCTTCAATTAGTTTTGTAACTAATATTCAGTAAATTCAATGTCACAGATGATGACTCAGTAACACTATCTTTTTCTTCAAGACATTTTGACTTTAGCCTGTAAAACTTGATTTCAGTTGCTTTAAGTATAATGGCAGTTTTAATTCTAAATTTAACTTCATATTTTGTTTTGCGTTTCAGTATTAAGTATTTCATTTAATCAGGAAGTAACAACAATATTGCACAGAATGAAAAGACACAAGTGGGACACATTATTTCCCTATTGTGAAAAACCTTTAAGAATCATGTCTGACCAAATGCTTATGGAAACTTGCAGTGGGAATTACGCACACGTAGGAAGAGGACAAGGGGATCAGGTACATAAACAGTTATACTATGGAAAAATATGCTTTTGAATAAATAATTCCTCCTTGGCAACATATTCTCCTGGCTATACTTAATCTGATATTTCACTTAGCAGAGCCAAATTATAACAAAGAGATTGATCCTTCAGGATTATCACTTCATGGAGCAAGTCCCTGGATAATACATTCTGCAACTTATCCTGTTAGCAACCAAATAATGAAAATCATATTGTAATGTAAGCTTGGCTCTGAAGGCCATCTTCAGACGTCATGTATTTAGTTCAGGTCTCAGTAGAAAAAGGTCTGAACTAAAAGTTTTTGATGATTATGCTAATGTTCTTTAAATATCTGATATATGAAAAATCAGTTAGAAAACTTTATTATAGAAATTTTGCTCAAGAACATATTCACATAGCATTTATTAAAAATTATGTTTTGAGATATTAATTCCAAATAATGTATCCTAGTCAAAATATCAATCCACCCAAATCTGAAAGTCACAAGGAATGGAGTTTGGAGTGATTCCGAAACAACTAGAAGATAATTAAGACTAGAAGTTTAATGAAGAGAAGGACGAGGGGGGACATGATAGCAGTGTTCCAATATCTCAGGGGCTGCCACAAAGAAGAGGGTGTCAAGCTATTTTCCAAGGCGCCTGAAGGCAGGACAAGAAGCAATGGATGGAAACTAATCAAGGAGAGAAGCAACTTAGAACTAAGGAGAAACTTCCTGACAGTTAGAACAATTAACCAGTGGAACAACCTGCCTCCAGAAGCGGTGAATGCTCCAACACTGGAAGTTTTTAAGAAGAAACTGGACAGCCATTTGTCCAAAATGGTATGGGCTTCATGTCTGAGCAGGTGGTTGGACTAGATAACCTCCAAGGTCCCTTCCAACTTTACTATTATTATTATTATTATTATTATTATTATTATTATTATTATTATTATTATTATTATTATTAAGAAGCTTATAGTGAAGTGGAGTGGGTGAAAGATTTTATTAGATAATACATATTAATAGAGTAGTTCGTTATTTTAACAATGAAACAATATACTACTAGGAAAAGAAGCAGTCTACAGCTCCATAAAATAAAAAAAGTGATAATTTTTGAATGACTTGTGATAGTCTAGCCTTTCACTATTTGATTTGTCTGAAATATTATTTGTGTCCATGGAAGACAAATGCAAGGGGTGCTGGAATATTTATATGCCATTTTTAAACTTATTTAAAAGAGCAATGAAAGTGCCATCCCAATCTCCTAGAGAATATCACTTACAGGTTCATAATTAGAGTAAGAGTACAGGTTAAAAGCCGAGTATAATTAATTTTTTTAAAAATGCAACTGGACAATATTTACACTGGCATAACATTTCCCTTTCTAACAAAGCTCACTGAGCAAGTGGCCTTACATACCCCAAGAACAGGAACAAACCTTTTTAACTTTCTATGTTTTTTTAAAAAGTATTATATCAGATTCAGCCAAGATCCTGCAGGTTACAGAATGCTAGTGAAAAATAGATCCATAAGAAGCATGGAAAACAATTAATTTGGTTTTGGTTTTTCATAACTGCCTGCTGAGAGTATGTCAATTTCACACTAGAATAGAATAGAATAGAATAGAATAGAATAGAATAGAATAGAATAGAATAGAATAGAATAGAATAGAGCTGGAAGGGACCTTGGAGGTCTTCTAGTCCAGCCCTCTGCTCAAGCAGGAGAACCAATACCATCTCAGACAAGTGACTGTCTAGCCTCTTTTTAAAAATCTCCAGTGATGGAGTGCCCACAATTTCTGGAGGCAAACTGCTCCACTAGTTAATTGTCCTCACTGTTAGGAAGTTTTTCCTTAATTCCAGGTTGCTACTCTCCTTGATCAGTTTTCATCCATTGCTTCTTGTCCTGCCCTCTGGTGCTTTGGAGAATAATTTGACCCCCTCTTCTTTGTGGCAGCCCCTCAAATACTGGAATACTGCTATCATGTCTCCCTTATTTCTTCTTTTCTTTAGACTAGCCAAACCCAAATCCCGTAGCTGTTCTTTGTATGTTTTAGTCTCCAGGCCTTTGATCATTTTAGTTACTCTTCTCTGAACTTTTTCCAAGGTCTCAACATCTTTTTTGTAATATGACCAAAATTGGTTTCAGTATTCCAGGTGTGGTCTCACTAGGGTTTTATAATTACTCAAATATATTGTTTGCTAGGTTGGCCATTCATTTCGCTAAGTATAGAAAAAAGTAGCATTGGTTGCTTCAGCCATTGCTTCTTTCTTCATTTTTATACATGCATTTCATTATTTCATTCTGTTCTTACATATAAAGAAACAGATAAGGAAACAAGTCCAACTAGTTACTCATAGCCAAGGTCTTATCCTTCCTACACACGAACACACCTTAAATTTTTCCCTTCTTCCCTCACCAGTGGCCTT